ACAAACGAGGTGACAAGGGGAGAACACAGACGGATGAAGAGAAAACTCCTGTCAAGAGGAGGCGTGATTGACGGGCGGGAGAGGGAAACGGAAGCCCAGACGGGAGCCGGCAGGGGCCACCAGGGAATCCCCGTGGGCCGCGTGGCCTTAAATGGACTGTGAAGGATGCAGTCTGGACACCAGGTAAGGATGAAAACCAGTGATGCACTTCCCAGTCTCTGTCTCCTGAAGGTCTCCTTCCACTACTGAGAGAGGAAAGACAGAGAGACAGAGACAGACAGACCGAGCTAGCTGATGGACGAAAAACAAACAGCCCCCAGCGGGGGCGCAGGGAGGTGGCGCCCAATCCAGGAAGAGAAAGAGAGAGAAGAGCTGGGAACCTCTGTCTGCCTGAGAAGCAGACACACCTCGGAAAGGGGTCATGGCCACGAGGACGCGGTGAGGAAGGCTCTGAGCCCTCCGTGCAGAAGCGAGACCTGGGGGGAAGCCATGACGTGCTTGATGACACGTCGGGAGGGAGAGGAGGAAGGCCTTCGTCAGCAACAGAACAACAACTGAAAACAGGAGAAACCAGTGGCGGCGTCCACGCCCGTCTGCTTTCCTTTCCTTCGAGCCCAGGGGGCGGGGTTCCCACGGCAGCCAGTTGTTCGTCTGCGGGCTCCCACTTCTCACGTTCACTTCCCGCAACAGCTTTTGAAACAAGTTCAATGGGGGTTGAGAATGGGTTGTCCCAGGTGCCCAGGAACTTCACAACGACCTTGCACAGTCTGGAAGAACGAGCGCAGGTGAGGCACTCATGCCGGGTGGCAAGGGCGCCTAGGAGGACCGTGAGCGGGCACTAATACAGTCGCCCGGTTGCAGAGACGGGTGCAGTGAGGTGGGGCGAGGCCAGGAGGCTGTGAGATTATGTAACGAGCTACAGATGTGGGGAAGGAGGGCTGCCCCCGAAACAGGTGGGGGAGACAAAGCCATAAAGCGCCTCTCCCCTTTGTAGAGGGCGAGCTGGAACGTATCTTATTGCATGTAACTTACAACTCAGATTTTTTTATCAGTCCATTATCTTCTTGAGAAAAAGGTGTACCTGCCCAAGTTTTGCTGTTTCCCTGCCTCTCACTGGCACAGAGAGCTAGTAAGCCAGCCTCTCGCCAGCTTCCAAGTCTCTCCCCAGCAGTAGTTAGACACTAAAGGAGACAGGGCTACTCTCTGGTCCATGCAATGCATCGTTACTAACAGGAATCTTCAAATAGAATGAAGTGTGTTTACTTTCCATTGCAACTGCGTGTGTGTGTGTACACACAGTATATCTACATATATAGGTTTATACATGTATATCTATATCTAGACTTATTCTCATGTATGTTTTATGCAATAAAGAGTTATGAGTATAACATCAATTCAGAATTTTACTATTCACCTATTTATAATTATGCTCGACTGAACAGGTATCCCGAGTATGTAAATAATGTAACTGAGATACTTTTAAGAGCATCAAATATTTGGCAGCTTTAACATTATTTGATAGTAAGTAAAATTATGGTTTTCAAAAATAGGTTTTGAAGAAAAACTTCCTGAATCAGATTTAAATGCATAATTTGGATTATGAAAAGGCAAATCTAGCTGAAACAGGTACTAAGAGCCCCCCTTTGCTACTGGCCCCCCCTTTTGGTTTACACTTCGTGGGACACCCCTCTGAAGCGCTGCCGGCATCGGACCACCCCAACGGTCCGACTCCTCTGACTTGGCTGGGAGAGGGTGGGGCGCGGAGCCCTCCCCGGTGCGTCTCAGCACTTGAGTCTCCAGTCTCAGCGCGCTTCGAGATAGGAACAAAGTTACTCCCGTCGGTTCCGTGTGTCTCCAAAACCACGACTGGCCGGACCCAGGTCTCCCTGGAGCACAGACGGCAAAGCGTGTCTTCTGCAACCTTCCGAGGGAACACGCGCGACCCGCTCAGCTCTCGCTCCGGTCCTCCTGAACCCCCGGAGGCCAAGCGATGCTCCCGACGGTGGGAGCAAACAGCCAAGCTTCTCCTCCACGTCTATCACCTTCGCTTTAGTCGGCATCTTGCAATGTTAATTGGGCTGTCAACTACGCTGCGAACTGCACCAGGTGCTAAAAGCAGTTCCTGTGTTTCAAAGAAGTTGTTTCTCTTGGAAGGAACTGGGCCTGGGACGGGATCGTGCAGCCAGCACTGCTCGGGCCTGCGGGGAGGACGGGGCTGTCTCAGGAGGGAGCCCCTGGCCGTTCCCACCGCTGCCCACATCCGGCCTGGCCTCCTGCACTGAGGCACCCCGAGAACCGCCTGCACGCACCCCAAGGCGCACGCACCCTGTGCCTGCTTCTCTACCTGCTGCCGGAGAGGCTACGGAGTGGGGCTGCCTTTTCTCCTCTCCATCCCAGCGCGTCTACCGCACTGGCTCAAAGCAGTCGGAGCCAGGCCTCCTACAGCCTGGCCGAGCCACGGAGAGGCCCTCAGGGAGACGGCTGTAGGGTGGGCCGGCTACCTCCTGGTCACTGAGACTCTGCTGAAGGACCCTCAGGAACGAATGTCTGAGTCGCACATCCGCACGGCTGGAGAGGCAGCGAGACAGGCGGACGGTGGTGGGAGAGGAGACTGGGGTCTCTGAGTTCGTAGCATTCGCTGGTTCATTTATTGAAACATTCATTCAGCACACACTTGACGGGCGCCCCATAACACTGCACAGTGCTGTCTAATCACTGAGGATGCATCTGGACGGGACAGACGCCACCTTTCATGCCTGACCCGAAGCCCCTGGACAGCAGGGAGAACAACTCAGTGCAAGCTCATTACACAGTTTCAGGGAGTCATGGGGGGCTTCAAAGAGGAGGCATCCCAAACATGAAGGATGAAAAGGGCTTAGACAGATGCAAGGCTGCCTGGGTGGAGCTGGGAGGGCCCAGCAGGGCCCGTGTAAAGCGGGGTGGGCGGTGAGAGCAAGCGCACCTGGACGCAGGCCAGTGCCACAGGGAAGCAGACCTTCCTGCAGGTTGCTTCTAACTCCCACATAATGGATTGAACCACGTGAAACTGCCATTTTTCTATATCCAAAAAGGTCTAATATCAGTAATTTCCCATGGTTCAGCCTAACATCCCCCTGGATTATATCTCCTGCCCAGTTCCTTCTGAATTAGAAGGAAACACAGAAAAAACACAGCAGCATTGAGAAACACAAGAGCGTTGGGACCCCTGGAGCCAGGCAGCGATGGATGACACTGAAGGACACACAGAGGTCCCACGAAAGAAAGCCACGAGCCACGGGAAGGCGTCCAGGCCTCTTCCTCAGGCCGGTGGGGATGTGCAGGCCGGTGTGCATTTTCAGATGCTCCCTGCAGACCAGCCGGAGAAAGGGCAATGCTGCAGACCGGAAACATAAAGAGCAGCTATTCCCGCTCCTCATGAGGGAAGACAGGCCCACCGAGCACGGGTGCAGGCACGAGGACACGAACTGACTCTAGGCGGGAGACGAGGGGAGGGAGAGAGCATGAGCCCGTGGTGCGAGGGTGGCGGACCAGGTGCACGGTCATGGCTGGACACCCAGCGGGAGGAGCTGCTGGGAGGGAAGGGGCGCAGCCCTGGGCCTGGAGGTTCCTTCAGTTCGGACGGTAAGGCCAGCGAGGATCAGAAGAAGCACGAGGCCAAGGGAATCGAGGCAGGCTGATGTCGGCTACCAAAGTCCTCCAAGTTCAGGGTTTAACAAAACCCAAACACCGACCCAAAGGCCGTGCCTGTCCTTCACGCTTACAGCATGGGAAACGAAAGGTGAACGTGTACCTGAAGTCAGGTAGGTGATAATGCCCAAGCTCTTCGAGCCTCAACCTGCTGCCCAGTAACCCCGTGGAATGCAGGGGGCGTACGGTGCTTAAGGCTCAAAAATGGGGGTCGGAGTTAAGATCTACAGGGACATGCAGACATGTGCCTCGGAATGGGAAAGGCGGACGCAGACTCAGAGCAGTGCACCTGGCCCAGGTGAGCTCCTACTTTCCAAGGAGGAGAGGCACTTCCTTAGTGGCCACCTCTTACCCCACAGTCTCCACTGACCGCCTTTGTCATAGGCCCTCCCCGCGTCCGGGGAGCCGAGGCAGGGAGGTACCGGCCAGCGGTCGAAGGACTTCCTTTCCAAGCATTAGAATAGACCCTGCAGCACCTGCGTGCCCTGCAGAGCAGAGCAGAGCTCAGCAGGGCAGCCCGCTCGACCTCTCGGAAGGGAGGAGCGATATTTCAGCAGACAGCGTTATCTCAGCAGACAAAGGTCTAAGGCACAGCCCACGTAAAGAGTTCTCTAACAATCTCCAAAGCAGTAGCAAAACAGTCTCCACGAAGCTGGACGCCGCCCGGGGAGGCAGCGGCACATCTTACACGCTCAGGCTTGTTTCCTTAATGAGAAGCAGGTCCTGGTGGCCGGGCTTCACTCTCAAAGGGACGCGTCCGCAGAAACCAGACACGTCCTGACGGGCCGGAGGGCCCCTGACGTGCCTCACATTTGAATACCTAATTGGGTTACAATTTTTTTTTGCAAAAGCAACCAGGGATTGTCACGCTGGTTTTGAATTAGGATTCCAAACAGAACCTAAGATGTGCGTCCTCATATCGTTCCCAAGTACGCAGAAGCGGGGTCAGAATCGTAGGACGTAGCCCCTTCCGACAAGAAAAAGAAAAACACACCGTGGTGCGCAGCTTGAATCTAAGAAACCAGAGAAGGTTCTTTTTTCTTAGAAAACACGGAAACTATCTGTGATCTCCCCCGGACACTTTTAAACATTTCACTCTATTTACTTTTTATAAGAGCAGGGCTGGGGAGGGGGTGTTTGGGTGTCGCCTGCCTCCTTCCGTTACAGGATCCAAAGGACTCCTTTTTCGTGTTTTCCCTCGTTAACCTACTACAGAAGTCGGCTAGCCCTTTCCTTCGCTCTCACTCAACACTGTTAGAATACGGAATCCAGGTGCGTCGTGGCGTCCGCAGTGAAGGCATCGCTCTCCTTACCTGCGCAGTTTGTCCACGAGCACGTCCATGTACTTCACAGCCTTCTCCTTCATGCTGGTTTCTGCAAAACAGAAACCCGAAGTTGAGGCAAAGCTTGAACAAAGCCCAAAACTGCTCAAAGGCCAGACACCGAAGGCTCTCGGCCAGGCCACTGATGCTGATGAGACCCCGTGTTTGGAAAACACTTGAACCCACTGGAGTGGCTGCCTGGAGTGACTGATGCGTGAGGCCCCCCCGTCTCCGCAGCGGTCAGAGGCGGGGCCCGGCCTGCAGCCGCCCTTGCCCTGAAGCTTCTAAAGGCAGCGCATCCGGGCTCTGGCACGGGCCCCTTACGCTCCATGCCTCTCCCCTTTCCCACCGGGCAGTCGGGAGCTTGGCTGCAGGGTATGGGAAGGAGAATGCGAGCAAGGGACAACTCCCTTCCTGTGGTAGCAAGCGACGGCAGACCCTGTCCCTGGAGAATGACAGACCCGGGGTCCTGCCAGGGAGACAGTGATGGCCCGGCTCCCAGAGCTGTGAGTTCGGCTCCTACTCGAGCTAAACTCGGTGCCTCGCAGTCACCAAATGTGGAAAGAATGGATGACTGTTATGGCTCAACAGACCAAAGAGGCTCTTTACTAGTACAAAACGATTGGGTGTTGGCCTATAACTCAAGTGCTTGGAGCGCCATCCCAGTACAGCGAAAGGTTCCGGGTTTGACTTCCGGTCAGGGCACATACCTAGGTTGTGGGTTCGATCCCCATTTGGGGTGCAAAGGAAAGGGCAACCAACCCCTGTTTCTCCCTCTCCTCTCTCTCCGCTCTCTCTCCTCCCACTAAAATCAATAAAAACATATCTTAGGGTGAGGATTTAAAAACAAGATTTGGTGGATTGGGGGCAAGCTCAGATTCCCTGTTTCCCCTCTGAGCAACGAGAGGGTCCTCCTCTCCCGGTGGTCACTGATGGGCTGTCCATGTGAGCGCCCGGAAGAGCCGGCGACAGCAGACACGTCTCCCTCAGATGGCGGTTGTAATTATTGATGTTGTTGCCATTTCTATAATTACTGTTATTATTGCTATTATGGTATTTATCATTATTTCGGTTCCGCTCTTCAGCCTCGAAGATAACTGATGCTGAAGGGCCCGTGGACACTAGGGCTGCGGTGCATGGAGAGCAGAAGCCACGCCGCCTGCCTCTCAGCCCGGAGTCTCCGTCCGGGCCTCTCGGGACCAGGGCCCTGTTTCGGTCAACACGCATGGGGTGGGGTGCGGGACAGACCGCAGCCCACACAACGTGTTCCGTTGACAAATCTTCATTGTCACCAGCATCCCAAAGCTGTCCCCGTGAGCCTGAGGAAGCAACTACCAAGCAGGACCGTTTTCAGCGTAAACAAGGAAGACGGGAGAGTGTCAAGTGGAAGCAGGAAACCTCTAGCGAGGTTTCCTGGTGCCACTTGTTGGCGTAATAAGGGGGCAGCAACATTCGCCGGGATAACCGTACGGGAAGCGAGTGAGTCCCAGGCAGGCTCCACATCAGACTGACGGAAGCAGTGATTCCTGGGAGCCTCAGCCCCAGCGTCCTCACCGCATGCGGACAGCATCACGAGGTCCGTGCGAGGCGACCTCAGGTCTGACAATGGAAGCCAAAGGGCACTCATCAGTTCAGCATTAATCACAGATTTTATCCAGTGTTATTGGATTGTTCTAAACAAAGGTAAGTACCAAGTGAGGCCTGACTTCACTTTACAAATATAAGTCATCAGACTTCAAAGATCATTATTCAAGGATCAATACAGACAAGATTAACTCTCATTGGTAAAATTTCCCAGAAGGAAGATGTGAAAGACAAAGGAAACTTTTTAGAATTCCAAGAAATGTTTGAACCTAGTATTATTCCTTTGTTTGAGTCAGTGAAAGAACTTCTGTTTATTTGGGTGATTAAACCATGCGCAGAGCCCTGGCTAGGTGGCCCAGCTGGTTGGAGCATCGTCCTGTACACCAAAAGGTTGCTGGTTCAATTCCCAGTTGGGGTGCATACGGGAGGCAGTCAATCCATGTTTCTCTCTCACACCAGTGTTTCTCTCTCTCTCTCTCTCTCCTCCCTTCCCCTTCCTCTCTCTCTAAAATCAATAAAAACATATCCTCGGGTGAGGGTATGCATGGAGATGCAGTAGTAAAATAGTGTAGCAAAGCCCCAGGGAAGTCAACAACATAGAAAATTGAACTTGCAGTTGGACTATCTTGGTAGGTGGGATGGAACAAGGTTGTGTAGGACCACAAAGCTAGCGGAATCAGCTATGTGAAGGGCCACGTGAGTCAGATTTTACCCCAAAGGGCAGAATGGAATCACCAGCCAATGAGCCCCTGTGGTACCCAGGAGATCTTGCTGTGGCACTGGAAATCCACTGTGAGGACATACATGACACCACAAATGACACCACAAATGACACCCACGTAGCAAACAGTGCCCATGTGTCAGGTGCGGTCCCGAACAGTGACCAATAGTCATACCCACACAGCAGCTCTATTATCATCCCCATTTCACAGCTGGCAAAACCGAGGGCCAGCCGAGTCACACAGCCGGTGAGGGAGCGTGCCAGAGCCCACTGCCACATGACACAGAACTTCCGTTTCCAGCAGGAGCTCGGGAAACACACGCTGAGTGAATGCACATGAAGCTTCAGCCACCAGCAAACTGCAGCAGGTCCTCAAAGGCACAGTGAGTTCAGGAGAGGCCACAGACCGTGCTGTAGAAAGTCGGAGCTACAGGAAACACTCGCACTTGCAAAGAACAGCCTTCAACAAATAAAAATCAAATTGCATGGAAGCTGCAGAGAAGCATGCAACTAACATACCAGCATAAAATAAGTGACCCCTGTGCAAGAACGGCAAAAATAGATATAAATATATGCAGGTATATAAAAATATAAATACATATATATGCATACACACACACATTAAGGCCAAGGTGATTTCAAAGTTGGATATGATGAGAAAATGATTAATAATTTACTAAGCCTTATTTTCATATCGATTCACTCCTCCTAATGAGATGCCAAATTCACATGGCTTTGCAAACACATTTTTATGTGCATCTCAGATTTATCTCCAGCATTTTTCTGCTGTCACTGCACGTGGCGGTCATTTAGACAGAATTCTCTACAGAGAGGGTCCCCAAATCCAACAGGACACAGTCCTGCCCAGGCTTCAGACGCGTCATTGTAAATCATCTGGGGCCGGGACCAAAAAATAGACCACCGCTAAATTAGCCATGGATTCGCTGGTCACCGGGGTCACCGTTCAGGGAGCTATTAATTCTCTCCTTCCCTCTGTGGCTGATAAGAGATGTGCAGAGAGAAGACAAATGGCCAGGTACGGGCCCGCGGAATTAATGAACGGCGACAAAGAGCAGGCCTCTCTTTGGGGCTGTGAGTGTTCTCCCTCTTGCGTTCCTCCAGCGTTTCTTCAACGGCCACCGCGGGCCGGGCTGTGCGTTAGCGCGCTGGGGCCGCGGAGGGGCCCTGAGCACGGAGAACGCCAGGTTCGCTGACAGACAGCCGCACACACGGAGGAGTGGCGAAAGCAAGGAGGTCAGTTCAATGACAGAAACTTCAAGCAGCCGTCTTTCCGTGAACGAGGCAGAAAGAGATTCCGCCCAGCTCGACAGGGTTAGAAAACGCCCCCAGAGGAAACGACTGAAGTGGGGATCTTAAAGGATTTTCCATGCGGGCTGGAGCCGGAGGAGGCGTGGATAATCCAAAACAGCAGTTGCACATAAAGTAAGGTTTGTGTTTTAGAATATCAGGCATTTAATGTCATATCATTTTACCTCCCCCATAATTTCCGAAGCATTTTCCCCTAAGCTTACATCTTCATCTTATTCGATGTAGTGCGTGAAGCCACGGCTGAGGAGGGGGTGGGGGGCGGCTACAGGAAACGCTGGGCTGGTGCAAAGCACGGGCTCCGAGCTTCCAACGCCACTGGGAAGCGGAGGTGGAAATTAACTCCCCCATGCAGATCTCTTCCTCTGAGTGACGTGCGTGCGAGGGCTGCGTTCTGGCCACTTCACGTCACTAGAGGCACAAAAGGGCAGAGAGTGGGGAAGCCCTTTCAACCGGGAGCATCCTCACAGGATTCAGTTGTCCGTAAAGACAGCCAAACCAATTATGCTGAACTACGTTTGCACTTCTGCTTCCACCGATGTGCCGTGTGACGGTGTGGGGCTGCGGCCCCCTCGGTGAGCCCTGCCCTGCTGTCCTGGAGCCCGGAGCACATCTCAGGGACTTGTCAATCTTGATACTCACTTCAGCAGAAACCGTGGGGCTTAGATGGGAAGAGACGGTGGGCAGGAGGCAAGGAAGGAGCAGATAAGCTCCATCAGCTTTAAAAACACTTAACGAACCATGAGCGCTTATGCTACACAGCAGACACAGCCCAGGTTCCGACTCCTCCGGCCGTGTTTGTCGCCAGTTAATTGGGCGGCATCTGATACAGTGATTCTCACTTTCCCGGTCAGACCTGCTCCTGCATGCAGTCTCCCCGTGCCCTTGAAGCGCACAGCCTAATACATCAGCACTATTCAATGACAAAGAAAAACCGAGCACATGGTGAGGAGAGCAGGTCAGGGAAAAAAGCCGACGTTATTGGTTCCGCGCAGCCTCCCGCGGCAGCCCCCGACTCACGCGTCCCGACCAACTGCTCCGGCCCCGGGGAGGTGGCTACCTCTGCTGGCGCTCCTGGCTGAGTGCAGGGAGCTGAGCTTTGCTTTTCTGCCTTCTAGCACCTGTCACTGCAAGAGTTGTGACCTGTGGACTCAATGACAATGGTTTAAAAATTCCACAAAACGTCTCTTTATTTGTCTTGCCTGGGAGTGTTCTTTGATTCTTTCTCCTTACTTACTTCCAATGCACACATGCACGCACGCACACATCACATGTACACACACACCATACACACATGTGCTGCCTATGCCACACAGGTGCGTGTGCACGTGCATGTATCCACATGCACACATGCTGTGCACACGCGTGGACACGAATTACTTCTCCTCATACATTTTGATAGGAGTAGAATTTAGGACTTT